ATAGACATATGTAGAAGTTTAAAAAATGATATTTATACAATATCACTCATATCCTTAAACCGATTGGCTTTAAATTTGGTGCGATAATTTGAAGTAATAAGACGCTTATTTAGTTTTAACTATATTGAAATTCACAGGTCCAGTAGTGTCTCCATATCATTTAGATTCAGATTAGACAACTAAAATACAAATGTTGGGTCTCTGGGGTTTTCTTCATGTCTGGCATCGTTTTCAAGAAATGGAATGTTCATTTTCACAGTAAGCAAGACATGAAGAAAACACAAAAGGTCAAAAAAAAACATTACATTCTTAATTATATGGCTGTGGTGCCCACTGAGACTCCCCTGGCCTAATAATTTCAATCCAGTTAGAGCTAAATGAGCGTATTATTCCAGTGAACCAAATTTCAATAAAATGGATTGAAGGACATCTCTGATATTTTATAAATACCGTTTTTTTTATTTCAACGCCCTGTATCTCAGAGACGAAGCAATTCCGGAAATATGTTCATAGGTTTTTTCTCTTATAACGACCTAACAAATCATCTTAGCAAACACCCTGTATAATAACGTACAAACGCGGGACTGGGAGCTTCACGGCAGGAAAAGCACATCAGCAATATCAAAGGGTATTGTTCGTTTTTTTTTGTCATTTTGTATCTATTATCAGTCTAGCTAGGTTACCCTATTGTAATTCGTTTCAGACTGCGTCATCTTGCCTAGCACTTTATCAAAGTTTGAGGAGAGTAATCTCTTTCATCTACTGTATCGAGTACACCGGGCTATCTGTTCAAATAAGACTCTAAAAAGTAATGGCTAAACAGTGGCCAGTTCAAGATGTCAACCTTTGTGGTTACAACTGATAGTATCTCATATTATAGCTGAAAGTCTTTGTCCACTATCATAGCGAAGTATTGTTAATCAAATCAAGCTGTCAGGTGCCGACACTGATGGACAAAATGCACTAAAATGCAACACGTGATCGATCGGTAGTCAATGACATCCAAAGACTTCCTCGCCATTATTTTATTATTTTTTAATTTATTTTTACAAATCACAAATATTGATTGATTCCAAATTGTCTATGTCTACGTTGTATACGGTTGGTTACACATTCTATATATACATAAAGCCCCGCTTTGTATGGATCCAAAATTTGAAAATACTGTATAGTGTGTTCAATGGACTTTTTTAAGAAAAAAACATTTTCGTACATTCGGTTTTGATCACAACGAAAGAGATCACTCATGTCGCAAAATACTTCCAAAGAATTACATCAAAGCAGGCAATTTATTCGCCAATTACGAAATGTATCATTATGTATGTAAAATTTCGAATGTGACAAATAACTAGATCCAACAAATGTTGTTCCTAATTTGCACCTTGTTGTCTCGAATTTCGAAATGGACTTCGTGACGGTTAGAGCCATTGTACAGTGTTGCGTGATTCAATACCTTTCACAGATTTGGAGAACTGAGCTATTGTCAATGCCGGCCCATTTTTCAGAGATAATGGAAGCTTCAAAAGCCACCAGGTATAAAATTAAAGGTGTACAAGGTGATAGAAAACTGTTTCATCTTTAAATACAAAGAGGCCTTGTCATACAACATCCAAAAAACAAGGTAACTAACTCATCATTAACTAATTTTTTCGCGATAACAATACTTCCTCGCCCGACACATTATTTACCAACCTTACTTGCTTAAATTTATGTTATAATGTCGTCTAAGAAATTTAATATCCACCTAGGATTTAGAGCTTTAAAGAAACATACATTGATTATTTTCCAGATTGCAGGAAAAATCAAAAATCTTACGCAAAAGTTCCGATTACCTTGCCATCCTTGTGGATATTTTCAATAAAGACTTATTGTCTTGTACGAGACCGAGTGGATCCCTGCAGGCAAACAGACGTACCGTCGCTGGGGTATTGTGGGTTTGATGTGGGTTCATATGTATGTGCGCGCCTGATCGTTGGTGCATATTTACCGCCCGTTTATTGTCAGAGGCCTCGAGTGTGGAAGTGTGGATATGTTCCGGTTTCGAAGGGTTATTATGTATGTAATAATGATGCCGTCGTCGTTAGTCATTACACTGGATAGATAGAAAGTCTGCTGATAAGGGTTAATAATTCTGACATGTACGGAATAATGGATATAAATACTAAATATTTATATCAAGTAGCCACAATACCTAACGATTTCACGCAGAGCGTGTGGAGTATTTGAATAACCCTATGGTGAGTTTTGGCGTCGATAGCCCATTTATTTTAAAAGATTTCCAAAAAAGTTAGGCAAAAAAATTGTTATTCACTTGGAAAATACGCCGCTTTCTACAGGGTGATTCATAACTACATGGTAACATATTGATAAATTTTTTGAAATAGAATACCTTGTATATCTTAGTGTATTCTGAAAGCTCATTTCAACTGAAGGAGTTTCATATAAAATACTATAGGATCGCTACTCCTCAAAGACAGCTAGTAAATCAGTTACTTTTGCCAAATCGAGCCTCATATTCCATTGCTTCTTGTCACTTGAACGTTTTTTATTTTATTTTGTGCATTATCTACACAGTTTTGCAATTTATTTTGAAACCCCATCTCAAATAAAGTTAAGAAAAAGAAAGAAAAAGTGATTTTGGGATAAACCTGGTATGCGAAATAAATATCTGATAATTTTAAGCCTACCTGGGAAATTTAGTTTTTTTTAATTTGGCAATGCCAATGTATTATACATTTTTAGAATCAGAATTTAAAACTCTATTCATCTGTGCAAAAATCCAATATGATGAAAGTCATATTGAAATTCTAATTATGCCATCTTGCAGAGGAAATGTTAATGTGCGATTTATTTTGAAATCCCTATACGAATGTCAGGAAAAAATTAAAACGACTTTGGATTTTTTCCGTCTCTCTCCGGGAGCACTTTGAATTTCGAAACCTGCTAAGCGACATTTTTCTGATTACCTAAATACCCAACTTTGCCCCCATTTAAGCGACTTCGTATCTCTTACTGTTTCCGAGATCCCAATGGTGAGGGTCGAATTTGAAACTCCTGCAGATAGCAGCGTAAACCTAAACTTTTTCTCAAAAATTCAGATAAAACACCTATTATCATTTTCTAGCTTTACGTTTTTTAAGCAATTTGATGTGTAATTATTATCCAACAAAATTTTCAATGTATTTGAGTTTCCCAGAAATTACAATTCAAAATCAATATATACCACAAAATTCGTGGAAATGGAAGGATATTCAGTGGATACTTGTTCCACATGCCATGTGAATTGAAACTGGGATAATGCAATGGATCGAAATTTTTTTAAATCTAACTCCTCAAGGATTGGATATCAAAATAAAGCTTATAAAATGGATAAGCAAAAACCATCAAAATATGCAGAGTGCTCCATCTGATCTATTGAGGAAGAGTATATTTTGCATTTATAAATACCCTGTATAGATTGTACACGGAATTTAAAACGCCTCAATGACGAGAAACCATGGTCTTTGGCGATAAGTTTGGCCAGAGTTTGTTCTACGAGGATCTATCTCCATACATTAGCAAATTAAAAATATAATCAGAAAATTAAATTAGTCACCCAATTTACAACATACAAATCTATCACCAATTCGAGTAAGCTATTTTAATATGACCTGACATAATTTCTTTCAAATTTATAGCTAAATTTATATAGCCACAGATAAAACACGTCTTCTGTTATAATGCGTTTTGTTTAGTTAAAACTAGTTTCTACAATGTGGCTATGTGCAATTTTAGTTGTAAAATTTATTTGAATGTTAAAATCAAGCCACAATCCTAAACAAAAACTCAAACCAAAACCTAAACCAGAACCCAAACGTTTGGGTTTAGTTTAGAGTTTGGTTTAGGCTTTAGATTAGGTTTTGGTTTAGTCTTTAGTTTGGGTTTGGTTAACAATTTAGTCTAGGTTTGGTCTATCCAAAAACCCAATGTAGGAAATGCAAACGATTGTCGTAGTTCGACAGGAACATTGAACTGAATCACTTTGACAAAACGCGTTTTCTCTAGTTAGGACTAGTTTTCGCTGATATTTATTTTTAAGCAGCAATTAATTCTAGTTGTAACAGCGACATTTTAGCTAGGTAATACGCGTTGTCACCGAGAACGGGTTTTAACTGTAACTTGGCTACTTTATAATTAATATTAAAAACATAGTACCATTTCATAGTTACATATGTTGAAGTAATGATGAAGAAATTGATATTTAATTGAATTAAATTGTGTAGCATGAGTGTTGATCTCTTATGGAGAGGTTACACGTAATTTTCAACAATGGCACCGGTAAACGAGTAAATATGCACAAATTGGGTAACTTTTAGACATATTTTGTTTACTATAGTTTTCAAGTAAAAGTTCTACAAACTCGGGTTTTTAAGACATATAATCCAATGAATATATTGTTCCAAACTGGGCCAGTCACTTCTATGAGTGAATTTTGAAATACTTTGATTTTTCTGAAATTGACCGCCAATTGACTGACGACAGTAACATAGGACTGACAAATTATGCAGTTTCATAGAAAACATATGGAGTTTATTAGAACTTTGAACAAATATCTTCGAATCTAATAACTGCAGGTCTTATAGTTATAGTAACTGTTAACAATAAATAAGTAAATAGGGAATATCTGGTCACAAATGGAACAGTATTCAAAAACTTTTCATACCATGCAATATATATTATACACTTGCTGCATGATATTTATATTAGAGACATTCACTCATTCTTCTTTCCAGCTGCTTGACGACTGTTAGCATCGACTTTTTGATTTTTTTCTTTTGCAAGCTTATGTCCAGTCTTTTAGTAAGTCACTGCTCTGTTTTGTATTCACCGCAGTTTGCATTTGTCGATTACATGTCAAGATATAGTTTGTTTGAGCTGTTTTTTCTCTATGACTTTTTGTTTTAGTGGTAAAAGTGGTGGTGAGGCGAAGCCTAAGCACTAGCGCTTACCTTGACCCTTTTTGCCGACCCCGTAGTACCAACACTATACTACTCCACAAGCGGACTACTAATAACTAATTATTGAATAAACTCGCTCCAGCAATGCAATGTACCTATGTTGATCTTGCACCGATCTGGTGATTTTCCTTTTAGTGTAGTCTTCTAATTGAATTTTAATAGCTTCGCCTTCTTCACTAATGCCTTCTTTTTAACTTCACTCACTTTAATTTTGTTTTTTGCGATTTTCAACAGATTTTAATTCCTTTACTGCTTTTCAGCTCGTCTATATTTTTGGGGATGAGAATTTAGTTTAGTTCAGAGTTTTTCACTTGCTTACTTCTGAACTTCCACTGTCTTTTGCTACTCTTTTCTGCTTCTTTCGTTCTTTGGTCTGCGCTAACAAAAGGTATATTTTCTTCAGGAACTGGTATTTCGTTCTCAGAATTTAGAAGAGTATTCTGATGTATAAAATTAAGAGTTTGAATAGTAGCATTTTCATCTTTTCCATTTTTTCTAGTTGCTCCAAAAGATTTCTTTGCCCTTTTTTCTTCTTTAAATATTGTAACCTTTGCTTTTCTTTGTATTTAGCTTATTTAATGCAGTCGCTTTTAATTCGGCTTATCTTTTCTTCTTTAATATATATTCTTGAGACAAATTCTGTTTTTTTTTTCAGGAGGTATAAACTGTAATAAGTCAAAGAAATGCGTACACATAGTTGCGGTTAACCCATTAACGCCCAAATTAAACTTGAATATGGAAAACGGATATTATGCACATAAGGTAGGTTATTAGGACTAAAATAAAACTGAAGATCATAAAACCATATATATTTTATTATTTTTACCAAAAAAACATCTGTACTCATTTGAGTACAATGGGCGAAACCGTTTATTTTGTATGATGTAACTTGAAGCAGGCACCTTCAATACGTAGTGTTGACGAACCCTTGAATGGCATACTGTACATCTTAATTGCTTCTCTAGCTTCGCAGGAAAATGTCCGAATTTATGAAGGATTTCATTTCTTCTTTGGTGTCGAGTATTTTGAGATGCATATAACATGGATGATCGACAATATGCCGCAAAACCGTATCATCAAAGAAAAGTTCAAATAGTTGGACTGGATTTAAATCCTTTATCTCTTCCACTAGTTTATCCCTATTGGCGTTCATTTCGCATAACGGTGGCGGCTCAGACCAAATGGAATATTCAGGATTGCATTTTCTCCCAGTCCAAGTCATCGTGTTTAGATTTATTTAGGTATTTGTATACGTTTTCGCACTTCACACTCAAATTGCTCTTCGTCGCTGCTTCAGAACTCGTCATTAGCTGAACTTTGCGAAACAGCTATAAACGACCAGAAACATCTTGTGGCATTCTATTTGCCATCAGTTGCTTTTAGTCCAATTCCCTCCTCGTCAGTCAAATAACGCGCGTCTGGAGGCAAGACCACAACATCATCGTTATCTTTTAAACATCTCGAGCATCAGGCAGAAAATTGTAATACTCGTATGTTTTAACAGGATCATCAAAAAACGCTATATACACATCTAAAACAAAAAAATAGCATTAGTCGACTGATAACGAATTTGTCCCAGTGTACTCATTTGAGTACAGTCAACTTGAACATACATTCTAATTACATCAATCAGTTAAAATAATTTATGACCGGCAATCAAACAAACAACCTTTACATATACATAATATGAAAAGATTATGTTATTAGATGGTCACCTTAATAGGAAAAAATAGGTAAATCCGAACTTACCTTAGATCAAATAAGCAATAACTCCTATTACTGTAAACAACGACACACTCACAGAATTTATGACAAATGACTCTTGCGCCCCTGTCGCGTGTACAATCTACAAATGTTTATAAAAGGCCAGTACTTCGTGGTTAACTCGAAGATGGCTCCGATAGGAACAAACACGAGTGTACTCGATTGAGTACAGCGGGCGTTAATGGGTTAAGATAAAAGTCCATTGACGCAATATTAGACAAAGGACTGACGCCAAAGTACTGACGAAAATGACCTTATTTTGAGATTATAATTCGAACTAATGCTTCTTTTGGTACTTTCGAATATCAACACGCTTTATTTTAACATATTATAGTTAACTACAGATGAATAAAAAAAAAACAGAAGTTTTTAAAGAAACATCGCCTCACGACAGTACTGATATTTTGACTGGAACGGCACGTGTATTCACAGTAACCACGACTCTAGCACTGATTTAGTATGGGCTGCTGTCAAATGGCACGGTCTGCAGTTCTCTTCACTAACGACGTTAAAATTTAAACAGGGATTGCAATCTCGAGTCGGTGATATTTGGCGAGAATTTTATATTTGAACAACACACAACGACCTGACAAATGGAACTAGACACAAAATTTTTTTAATTTTGTATAACTAACGGTGGGAATATTATATTAAGTATGAAAATTGTACATTAAGTACATCACAGATTGTAGTGAAATAGCAAGTTTTCTTAAATTAATGGTAATGTTCAATAGACGGATACCTGATTGTACGTTTTTTGGGATTGTGACATATGCCAAAGGACTGACGTTTTGAGGATTTGTTGTATTTTTTCAAAAACTTGTATTCAAAATAAATCGCTGCAAATGGGCGACCAAATAAAAACTTTTAGTTGTTTAAAATAAAATTAAATATAAACAAAATTTATAAAACTTCACATCTATTGATTGATGACATTCAGTAACCCTTTTTTGAAGAATCACCCAGCTACATATACTCGTAGTGAGTTTTCTTACTGCATACTTCATCATCCAGAACGACCATCAGTTTACTGTGTATAAACACTATTTTCCTGGTATGAAAGATCTTTTGTCTCTGATGCAACTATCGTAGTCTGTATACTTTGGTGCATCCGCACAAGCTAGCACACAAACAAGTTCAACGCACGTACCATGAGATTTGGTAACATTAATATACATACGCGTTGCTTGCATCACTGACCGGGAGGGAAACTTTATGTAAATATCAAATGAATTTAACTGTTGATTGTAATATTAATTAAGTTATACAAGGCCGAGTAAATCCCGGAAATGTTTTCATATTACACGCTTCTCTTTCGGTAGGTACGAGTATGATTAAAGAATCCAGGCCTTCAAATGTTCGGCGATAGGTAAGCGCTTCACTTATACCCAATTCGTAGTCCATTTTATGCCCAGACAAAATACAACATGCCCAAAAACGAGATTGTACAGGTCCGTATTTTCCTCAATGGTCTTGGATAATCTAACAAAATAAATTATTATTTTTATAGAAAGAAGTGCACATACTTTTCACAATTCTTTATTCGCTGAAAGTATGAACTTGAATCATCGCCCGAATGGTTAATATTAATTATTACAGGTTCAATTAGAATATCTATCATATTATCCAGATCCCACATCTTTGTTTCGATTGTCTCTTGAACGTGACGGATGCAATCTTTCCAATGGTTTGCCGCCACTCTGTTGACAGCTTCATAAAACAAATTTTCACGTCAGAAAATTTGAACGTTCTATTGTTTGAAGCCACAAGTTTTTTATAATTGCCCAAATCATTTCAATGGGATTTAATTCACAGTGATGAGGGGGTAGCCTAAAAACGGTATTTTGGTATTTAGGCACTTCGTCAATAACATTAAGTTTATATTTATATACGTATACACAGATACAGTTTTAAATAAATTAAGAACAACAAATGAACCCTAGTTCATCGATTTCTTTGTTCTTGAGCGTCCAACCATATTTTTTAAACTGGTCGGTTCACTGTTTACCAACTTTCTGACGTTTGCGAATAAACCTAACCTCACTTATGCTATTCTATACATTGTTTTCATCATTGCATACATTGTATTCATTGTATACGCATTGTATACATCGAGACGTAGACAATTAATGTATACGCGTAAACGCCCACCACTGGTCGAAAAATAACTGTCAAAGCTCCTTTGAAAAGTGGGTGCTAAAATGACTTTTTGCTAAGGTATAATTTGTTAAAGAAACCAAGAAAATATATGATCTCAATGCAACATTTTTCACAAGTGGAACGAATAGCACTCTTTTCCAATCCAACGATAAGCATCCGTATGATGTCCTTATTTCAAGATTTATTGCCTTTTTGTCGCGTACGATGTAATCATGCATCGTGTGGGAGTGTACTTCTTATTAGTCGGCATATATGCGCTTTGTCTGGTTTATGCAGTTGAATAATAACGCAACCAATGCAGTATACGCATCATTATAAGCATTAACTCATTTAATTTACTTATCTGATGCCGTCTCATTACAGGGTATTGCTCCATACAATTCTGACTTGCTGCTGTATATTAGGGCCACATGACATAATATGTTTGACATAAAAAAAGTGTACTGCAACTGGCAACCGGTAGCAAGTGTCGTTATTTTGCAGTAACCTATGCCAGGGTGGCAGTTTCCGTAAAACTTTTTCATGACAAATTTCATTCGTATCATGCGGTCCCTAATAATCCTTATAACAGCTATTTTTGAACCTACTATGTGGCCATCCCTTCCATCCATCGCATGTCATTTATCTCCGACTAGTAATTAAAAAGTAGCATCAAGCAGGTTGAGTCAAACAGAACCACACAATCAGTCCATAGTCCCCACCCATTCAGCAACGTTGCGATCTAGACATATCACCCCTGCCCTACCGATAGCATCGACCATCTGGTATTTGCTATGACTAACCTCGTTAGCCATCCATCGGTCAGATCTCGAAGCAGGTATATCTACGTTCGTAGCGTTGCGTGGGATACGAATACTGAAAATATTTCGCCATCATTCTAAGTAACAATGATAATTGGACGGGAGAATTTATGATATTAGAAATTTGTCTAATAAGTGGGTAGAATTACCGGCGATGGGATATTGAATAGTGAATTTCCAAAGCCATCCAGTCTACTTGTTGATGCCTCTTGACGTCAAAACATGTATGACTAAAATGTATAACCGGCGGTCGCAAATAGTGTACGCCTTCATGCATTACATAACCTTTGCCTTTGTGTTAAAATGGTAATTGATGTGGCTGTTTTCGGAATTATTGGTGATTTTACAAGATTTTAGGCATTAACTTAAAGTTAAAAAAAATAAAACAATTCGTGTCAATCATATCGGTACGGCAATTTTTAGAAGCATTTAGTTTATTATATTGTACTGCAATGACTTGTAGGGGATGTGATCCACTGCAACCAGTGTTTGATATTTTTGCTCAAATAGAATATGTTGTCAAATTATGATAATGTTTTTGTTGGAGTGATATTAACTCAAGATGTTTTGGTAAGGTGTAATTTACAATCCGAGTGTACAACTGAATGAACCGGTTTGGAAAATTGTACCGTTTGCAAACTTTTGTTTAATAAACCTTATTTTTCTAAAGCCTCTAAATTTACGTATACTTTGGTAGAATCATATAAAATATTGTTACTCTATCATTCAATTCAAATTAGTCATCTACAAGTTATTTCATAAAATACGCCAATTGGTACAAAGTACCTAAGTTTCTCCTATACTCGTACTAACACCTAAGAATTTAGATATACCCTCGTCCTCCTCCTACAACTCCAACAGCATTTTTAACATCTACATTTTTTCTGAAAATGATCAGGAGCATCTGATTTCCAAAACCTACAATACCTTTTCGTTGTGGAAACAATCGTAACCTCGCGTCGGAGCCAAGTCAGTAAAATGATTTTTCGTGATGTACATCCTCGCCAGTTGGCTTGAGAAGAACAAATGCATCGATAAGTTCTGTTTCTTTTATTAAAACTGTCAGATACATAATGTGCAATATTGGATCACAAATCTGATGGAAAATGAGGTCCGTTCTATTTCCTAAATTGACCCTCTATGAGTTTATGTATTGTTCAATTTGTCTAAGTAAAAAATACTTAAAAAATGCAGTTCCATGTTCGACCGATCGAAATACTTTTAGTTATCGGTGTTCACAACTAATGGCGGATGTTAAAATTACATTACTATGTATGTCGTAAGTATACTTGACAAATAGGTAATAAATGATTCAACCTTTGCTTAGGTGGCTGTGTGATATGAAACTCATAAAAGCAAACATGGAACTATTAAAATTTAGATTGACCTATGTGTTTTGCTACATACTTGTATAATGTCCACGGTTAACCCTCTGATGAAAGCAGGATTATTATTTATTATCGAAGCAGGCAACTTGCACAGCCGACTGAATACCGCACCGTGTATAAAACCTTTATTGTTTTTACACTGAATCTCAACCCTTACACCCCCTTTTAGAAAATTACCATTTATCACTTATAATGTAAATGTAGTCTTTCTTTCCCTCTTCTGATTCGTTGCTTTTGTCACCCATAGTATTATAATTTATTTATGTTAATAAATTACAAGTGGACAGTATAAATAGTTGGTAATAGAAGTCTTTTGTTTAAACAGCCATTGTGTATGTTGTACACCGGAAAACGCATTTTTACCTCGGTCAGGCTCGTGTTTGTGTTGTCAATAAAGGTATGATTATAACTATATGGTGCAATATGGATATATGTACAACATATTGTACATCCGAGCTTCAAGCGTAAACATCAAGCTATTATTCGGAGCTATGTCCTCGGGATCGCTGTGGCCATTACTCTGTAACTAATTAATATGCCAACATATTTGGGAACAATCAGGAACTTCAATCCCTTTACAACGTCATGCAAAATTAATCACTTTATAATGTGAAAGCAGAAATCTGACATTTAGTTAATGTAGCACGTAAATAGATCTGATTTCTCTGTTATGCTACGCTTTGTTCAGGGTAGAGTCTAGGTAAGATCAACTTATACTGACGAAATAATTCAAGGTTACTGAGGAAAATGACAAGAAAATCATTGAGATCAACATTCTGAACGTGAAAAAAATAATTTGAACTCATATTCTGTTAAATTATAATATAGTCTTCCTACACAGATGGCATACACGTGATAGACAATAAATTCAGTTTACTGAAGAGTTCTGTTTTGCAGTACATCGCGGCTTTTCGAACGAGTTTATGGAAACATTCGGCAACAGTGTGAATTAAGATCATTAAAAAACGTCCCCCACTTCTGCATTTTCTTATGGTATTATAAAATATTAGAACAAACTCAGTGAAAGTACAGAAAACCATAAAACACATTATTTGTAAAATAATGCACCTGATAATAAC